GCTACTCGCCAATTGTGCAAAATGGGAATGAATCTTCGGCTGGAACATGGAAAGATACACCGCCACATTTTTTGTCTTTTGTGCAGGGGGTGGGTCACAAAGTGTTTTGTGTTCGTTGTTCTCTGAATGCATACCCAAGGCCTTGCTCCACCACTCGCCGCGTGCACAAAAGACAAAAAATATGGCGAAAAGATTCGTTCTCATTTTGCACACCTGGTGAGTAGTGGAGCAAGGCCCTCATACCGGCACTTTTGATGGCCTTGCTCCCGCTAATCACCAAATGTGCAAAATGCCAAAAATGGGAATGGCCTCGCAGAATGAATAACATGGAAAGATACACCACCGCAATATTTTTTGTTTTTTTGCAGGTGGTGGGTCGAGATTTTTTTTTCTTTTTTTTCACCTCATCATCCCCACCACATCTGCGACGGGCATCGGCTTGTTTGTTATTCATATTTCCCACAGATTAGCAGGCAGAAGATTGCTGTCCCTCAACTCCCGCTACACAGCACCACCTGGCTTTTTTTTATTAATATTTCCCACAGACTGGATCCCCCGATCAGCATTGAGCAGAGTCTGCTGATGTTCGTAGGGGAGGGGACCACCACCAGAGGGGAGGCACAGGGATTGGCCCTGTTGGCATGGTCCCTGATGCTACCGGCTATCCCTAGCCGCTATCGCCCACCTGCAGGTCGGAGCAGCCCCCACATGTTCTCTCATGAACACGGTTCTGGCTGCTACGGGTTTCCCCGTATGCCTACAATTAGGAGTAGTGGTAGGTAGGTAGTGTGAGGTGAAATAGACAGAAGAATATAGGTTAAAAAAAATAAAAAAAAAATAAAAAAATGGCTGTCCCTCAACTCTGGTACACAGCATCATCTGGCTGTGTTATGCTTTATTAATATTCCCAACAGTTGTCGTTTCCACTTGGATGTCCAAAGCTCCTCCTCCCTCACATTTGTGGTGTCTAGCTTGATGCCCAGTAGTTAGCATCTCTGAAGGCGCAGTTAGATTTCAGAGGCACAGTTCCAAAGTTCAATTTCTGCAGTCACTGTTTCAAAGTCGCTGCTTCACAGCCGATGTTTTGAAGTAGTCGTTTTCAAATTTCCTGTCCGAAAGCCGATGCTCCTTTGTTTCTACGCTTCAAGGGTTCAGATCGTAAACGAGGTGTGATCAACCATGCGCCCAAGCGCATCACCCCGAGCTCTTTCAAATTTTCTGTCGGAAGGCCGATGTTTCATCTTCAACGTCAGAACAGAAATGAGGTGTGATCAACCATGTGCCTACGTGCATCCCCCCCCCGAGCGCCAAAGCCCCTGACGCTGTTGTTTCACCCAGGCCCAGACAGCCCCTCCCCAAGAAGGAACCCAAGACGACAAATAGTTCTCCCCTGCACCGACCTGAAAATCTAAATGGTAGGAGTCCTTCCTGTCCAGCCTGGAAGAACATGTCATGGTGGTTGTCCGGGCGAAAGTACTTCCAACAGGCACACTGGGGCAGAGCTAAGTACCGTAGTTCTCTCATAAATTCTCCACTCAGAATCTGACAGATCTGACAATATGCAGGCCAACTTCCTGTGATCCATATGTCCACCACATCATATGATTTTATCATACTTGCAAGCCCACGCCCCGGACATGCCTACCCGTCCCGAACGGCACACAGCTCGCCCACTGCTGGGGGTGAACAGCGCCCCCCCCCCCCCCCCCCCCCCAACACACACACACCCCCCAAGAAAACAAGGGGATGCGGGCCTGGACAGGTGGCAACCCGCGCCCCCCTCCAAAAATGTTTTGCGGCTGGAGGAAAAAAGGGGCTGCACTCAAACATTTTCCACGCCCAGGGCCACGCCCAGGGCCTGTTTCCCCGCTGCCAAACAGGGCCTCACTCCACCACACGACATTGTAAACGTAGATGGATTCTCGTTTGGCTGTGATACATTGAAAATGTTGGGTTCGTCCAAACATGTCTTGGGGAACATACAGCACGTATACATTTAAACTTCAAAGTGTTGTGTACTATAGTAAGACCTACAGTCTTCCCCCGCGCCAAACGTCTTCCTCGCCGTCGGACAGTCTTCCCC